AGAAGATACCTCAAGCTCACTTCTTCCTGCACCTATTAGAACTTAACAGTCATAACACAAATAAGGGAAGGGGAAAAAAATCTGATGTAAACCCAGGAAAAGTAGCAGCAAAGGTTTCACTTACGACTTTAGGGGCTGACAAGAAACACATACATATATGTAAGCAGCAGTGTGGTGCAGATTTAAGTATTAAGTGGTTCAATGGCAGTGGGTTTTAAGAGACAATTTAAGAAAGACGTTTAAGAAAAATGTAGTGGAACAAAATTTTGTTCTTCCATTTGCAAAAAGATTTCCCTGGGCTTCTGGGACACAGGTAGCAAAGAGAAAAAAGGTATGTGTCTGAACTCTTAGTTACTGTCCACTCATTTTCATCCTAGTACCAAAACCATCCCCAGAGGTAGCACTGGTGGTCCTTTCAGTGGTTTCAATCACCATTTGGCCGATACTGCTCAGATGTGTGAAAAGAAATCCTCTCTGGAACCACAGTAAGGAAAGTACATCTACCATATGTGAGGTGGCTAAATTGATGCATTCAGGGGAGATGTTTGCATGGGAGGCAAAGTACCTCAGTTCTGTAACTGGTTATCTCCTTTGAACTTCATCTACCATTTCCTCATCCAATTCTTCAAGATAAAATCTTGAAAAACAGATGAATTTAAAAAGCCATGTTTGAGGTACTTTTGGCTCCTCTGCCTTAAAGCAAGCACTGACATTCAACATCTGGGAACTAGACTCTACCAAAGATTTATGCAAATCACATCAGGTATAGATGAGAGAGCAGTGTGTATTTCAACTTTCCTTATCAACACATGTAAACCTGCCCAACAACATTTTTTTTTCTCCTGCTGAAAATGAAGTGTAACCAGTGCTCCAAAGATTCACTTAGACTCACCTAAGATCTTACTGATTGTCCTAGGGTTTCAGAGAAAACCTGTTTATAAGCACAAATAAAGATAAAAATAGGGGCCACCTTGAGAGAGAAGCTGCAGAAATCCTTCATATGTATGATAGTATATGTTGTACAAAGGGTCGCTATGAGTCGCAGGCGACTCGATGGCACATAACAACAACATATGGTAGTATCTGGGTAGGCAACAGGAAAAGGTTACAGCAGCAAGTGCTTGAAGAGTAGAAAAAAAGAAAGCCTGCCACAAGACCACCAATCAAACATCCTACTCTCTCTTCTCAAAGACCTGGCTAATAACCCTGCTTGTGTTTGAGGTGATTCAAGATCTCACAACTGACTGGCATACAGAAACAATCGTTTTATAAAATTTTGTGTCTGTCGGTGAAGATACAAAACAGGGATATCTACCTTTAAATCATCTACATAAATAGGGCAGAAGTAGAGTAGACCAATTTTCTTTTAAATGCCTTCTCTCACAAGTGGCACTGTCATGAGCAGTTAAGAGATTTTCAGAACAATAAACATTAAAAGGTCAAAGTTCAATAGGCTCCACGAGTGTTCCCTTTTCCAAATGATAGTTACCTAAGGTTCTGCTGCCCACACAGCCAGGCAGAAAAATCACTCTCTTCTTGTTAGTAACACTTTCACACCTCTCAACAACTTCAAAATCATATATATTTGTTTTTTCTGTCCTGTACAGTTTAACCTGCCTGCCCCCAACCCTTTTGCAGTGGGCTATCAAATGAGTAACAACACATCTTACAAGGCAACTAGAACAAGTGAAAGAACTTGGCTTGTGTAGTATTACAGCTACATTAAACTGTTCAAATAGTTTGGAAAGCCCCAAATAAAGTATCATAAAAATACTTACTAGGATTTTCTCCTAAAACGTCTGATACAAGAAATACGTAACATTTCTGACTTGTATCTCTGCTAAATCAAGTAAATGGATGTGAAAATCAGACTGAAAATTTATTAAAACAATTCAAGGAATCTTATTATACCCATTTAAGTGTAGCGTAGGAGGAGAAAACATTTTTTTCCATATAAATAATACAATGTGCTTTAATATTCCAAATATTGGAAAAAAAACAAAAGGCCGAAACCAGATCTCCTTTTTCCTCTTACTCAAGAGTTTGATTTGAAACTCAATAAGCAAGGATCTACTCAGTTGGGGGGGTAATGGTCTGAGCCACCTGAGAGTGACTGAATTCAAGGCTGCCCAGGACTATATGGCTGGATTAGGACAAGGACCCAAAGAAGAAATGACCCTGGAGAGATAAGTCAGCAGCATCACTGGAACTGAGATGGAGGCTTTCAGGAGGAGTGGAGAAAGGGTGTAGGAAGGAAATGGGTTAAATTTAAAAAAACAAAAACAAAAAAAGGATGGAAACACCTTCATAGGTCAGTAGAAGAGGATGTAACAAAGACCAACGCACAAACAATACTTAGTGGGACATTCTGGAGACTGGTGGGGAGGGGGAGAGAGAGTCAGTCTGCTTAGAAAAGGATCTAGATAAACTGTCCAGAGGTCTGGCAAGAATTCTTCCTGGCCATCTGCAGATTTGTGGCAACAGCTTTTTTTGAAGGTACTTTTTTCTCCACACCCCTTCTTTCCATTCATATAGCATTCCCTCCCCTCCTTCATTACAGAGAGCATATTTTGGAGCCAAATGTGTTAACATGATATTAAAAAAGAGAATTTTCCTATACCTGTTAAATTTTACTGAATTTTTAAAATGTTCCACACGCTGTCTCAGGAAGTATTACATTCAGAACCCTTTCTATATGATGGGGTGTTGTCATAATTTTAGCACATGCATCAGTTGTTGGAGGGTACATACTCGCATACAAGCTTGATGCACTGGAAGTTTTCTTGAGAAAGGAATAAGGCTTCTGTGCTTGGCTACATCTAAGCCAGTACTGTACACTCCAGAGCTTATCTTTGTCCCACAGAGAATTGCACACTCTTCTGAATAGAAAAACATTTCCAAGATCCTTCATGTACTCATGAACAGTAAGTTTAATGTTTTCCCCTCCCTTTTAAATAAAGAAGTATCTTAATCGTTTTAAATAATGTGCCATTTATAAGAACTCACTAATCAATTAAATTTTATATTTTTTGTCTTCCAGGCACTTAAAAAAATCCTAAATCTCAAAAGTAGATGACTCTATATAGTACTTTTATCTCTGAATGAGTGACTTGGATATCTGAATATTCTCAATCACATCTGAAAATGTCAGAGTGTGCAGGAGGAGGATAGCCAGTGCGAGCAAACCACCCTTTAAAGAATAACCTGAGAAGATATGAAGGGAGAAAGAAAAGAAACAAGTAATTTGAGCTGGTAGAATCAGGAGTCACAGCATTTAAAAAACATGACAGATCATGAAGATGATCCACAGGAAAGTGTCAAGAAGCACGGTGGACCGCACCTGAATGTCCTGAGTGCCCACCTCCTCCCCAATTACCTTAGTAAAAATCATACAAGGCTGTTAACTCCAGAATTTAGAAATCTATTTCTTGTGCTTCAGAAACTCTTTATTTTCCTCAATCTTCATGATTTTTTTTATTCTATGGGGGAGCTTCTTGGACTGAGTCAAAGTTACTAAATATTGTGCCGTTGGCTCTAGTGCCCAGGTGACTAGGCTGGGTGCACAATGAGCTAACTGCTTCCTCTCAATATTCTCTCACAATTGCCCCGATGTCCTCACCTGGCTAGCCCTCTATTTCATTTAAGGAAGGCTAGAAACGAAGAGAGCTATGGCTGACAGGTTTAGAAAAGGTTTAGTTCTTTGAGGTTCAAGTATTAGATATGATACTGTCAACACTTAAATACAGGTGCCCAATTGTTATAGGGACATTTCTGTATCTTTGGTGGGAAGAAATGGGGAAATAACAAGAAATGGACAGACCAGACTGCACAAACAGGTCAGAGAGGCCACTGATTATACCAAGATTTCAGTGAGCACAATGACCAAGCTTAGGTGCTAGGGTTTTCAGGCTGAAGTTTTGTAATATACCATTACATTATTTACTAATAATCTATCTTTCTAAGTAGCGTTTGATGGAAGGAAAAATGAGCAGAGAGAAAAACAGGTCATATTATGCCTCTGTATCATAAGATGTAACAGAAACCAAAAGGTGAAGTTTATTCTCATCGAAACAGTTTTAGCTCAATTCCTTCTCATAATCTTTTTTGCTTTTTCTCTTTAGATTGGCAAAGATTCAGGCAGGGTCTCCTAATGGTAAAATTTAAATTATAAAAATATTTATTGATTATGTCTCTTTTAAAAATGTCTGGCAACCCCAACTAATCATCCAATACGCAAACTGTAAACACACAAAAGAGTAACAACTGGGTGTGAGTAAGCCAACTATGAAAAGGTGACAGACAGACTGAGCACAAGTGCAGGAGAGAGCAATAGAGAACGGAAAACAGGGCACACATGTGCTGGAGAACGACAATCTGAGTGTGATTTCAATGCAACCACTTGAAAAACATCTGGGCCAAAACTAAAACTTAGGAGGAATGGACGAGCCTTCTTTGTGAGCATGCTCAGCATATTGGCATGGAAACAACGAAGCACAGAATCTCTGTAGTCACTTTACAATGGATGGCTGCCATTTCTAGGATGCAAAGAAATTTTCTTTCTGGTCCCTGGATACATCATTTCTTGTTTTTCCATGTTTCCTTGACCTTGGAGGACTGCAGCTGTTGTTAAAAAATTCCCAAAGAAACCCTTCAATAAAACAAAAGAACTGCAGTATCAGTAACACTGACTTTGCTGGAATGCCCCCTTCCCTCTACCTTGGCCTGTGATTTTCTTCCGGGCATGTCCAGCAGGAATGGTTAAGTTTTACCAATCCACTTGATACTAAGCCAGCACAGACGTCAGTCCCATAGTCACAGAGCTAGAGTGGAAGGGGCCAAAGGTATGTATGTGTATGTATGTGTTGTTCGGGGATCTGGACACCGCCCTCACTTTGTAACCCTTGCCCAGAACACTGGGGTTGCTTCCACTGGAGAGACTTCACGGTAACTCTAGAAGTGTCATTAAATACTCAGTTCACGAAGGTTGACCTCCTCCATTGTCATAGGATGATGCAGCATCTGCAGAAGCGCTGTCTGCTGCCCCCTACTGACGGGGGTGGAGTGACAGGTGCGAAGTACGCGTGGACTTTAATATTGGGTAAATGGGTCTGAAACAAGACAGAAACATTACTAAGTGAGAGTTTCAACAGAAAGTGCAATGTTGCTTTTCAGAGAAACCACTAAGAAGATGAATGGACATGAAAGCAGGGTTGAAGCTGGGAAACAGTCAGAGAGGGCTTCTACTTTGTACCATATCAAATTCTAAGTGACAAAATGAAGCTTACATAACTTTGATACTGGCTTCTATAATTACAAAACTAGAGAAAAAATTATCTTTAAAGAAATTACACACGTTAAAGACACTAACTGAAATAAACTATAAAAACAAATTCTTTTTCCCAAGTGATTATGAGCAGTATATATTTCTAATTTAAAAAAACACCACCAAAACAAACAAAAAACTATCCTAAGCTCATTAGCCTCTTTTAATACTTCTAGTCTTTACTACATAAATAGTTTTCGAGTACCTACTAGAATCAAGGCACTGTGCAAGTTGGTATATAAGAGCAGACCAAAGGTGGCCAAGATGAGCCTCCTGCTCTTGAGATTACAGCCTATATATAAACAGCTAAATCAAAGTGGTCAAAATGCTATGTCACTTCAGGAACAAGTAAAGACTTCTGTGAGAGACAGAAGAGATACTTGACAGCTAGACAGGTCTAGGAACCATAGTGCAAACTGGATATAGAAGAGGCTCCGGTTGACCTTTGGCTCTTTTCTTTTGGTGTAGAAGAAATATGGATCTTGGATCTTACACTGTAGTCAGAACTTCAATGTCTGAAGTGAAAGGAGGAAATGGGGTCAGCTGAAATTCAAGATGAGATTTGTTGGTCCTTTATGTGCTCAGGAGCCCAAAGAGCAACATAGATTAGACTGGTGGTAAGGGCCTAAATAAGCACAGTGCCTTTCTCACAGCAGGTGTAAAGCAGATGCCCCAGTAAATGCCTATTGAACTGAATGATCTAACTTACAAAGTCATCCAGCATTTTACAACCTTTTTGTTGGCAACCTGTCTGCAAGTCAATTCACAGATTGAGGAGCACTCTAGTGTGGAGGATGGGGCAAAAAGCAAAGGCTCAAAGTAACTCTCCTTGATCTAACTGCTGTCTTGGGGGATGGAGGACAACAGGGCAATTCCTAGAAAGAGAGTGACTTAGTATGAAAGAAAACAGAAATTAAATTGTTAAA